GATATTGGTCGTATTCTTAGATGGCCACCCATTGTTATCCTGTCGCCAACCGGAAATGGAAATGATAAGGGCCTCATCACATGAGCGAGGAGATTGATGGCGTTAGCGCGGCTCGACAAAGTTTGCAATCGGCGCCAACAGGTGGCAGGGTCGGCGCTCGCGTGGAAGCTCCCGGCCGATCAGTCGCTCCTCGCTGCTCGACTCGACAGGATACGTTTTCCCTCGCTCCGCGCGCGGCGCGAGCGCACTTGCGCGTGGGACGAAATTGACTAGATGTAACTATATGTCACGAGCCTGCGTGGGGCGGCTGCCACTCCACGAGTGCACAAATTAATGAAGATTGGTGAATTTAGCGACTCCGCGTGCGGGCGTGGGAAAACCGGTGTTGGTTGACCGCGGCCGGGCGACACCTCGCTTGACAGTGATGCGGTTCCTTCACGAGTCCAATGAAGTCCTCCAAGTCGACGTCACGGGGACCCTCTCTTAATCCTGGGTCCGCTTCGCGGATGCCCCCGCCGCTCCTGGAACGTGCACGTGGCGGGGGAAGGTCCGCCGGACGGACTTCGCGGGCGCGGTGGAACTCGCGACTCATGCTTCTGGCGCCGGTGGTGTGGGGTCCCTCCTCGACGGTCCTCCGTGGGAGCAGGGGAAGAGTCCTCCTCTCACCTCGCAGGTCCTCCTCCTAGGTGTTGGCGGTGGCCGCGACGGATGGATTCCAGGCACGGTGTCCTCACTCGCGGGTCGCGGTGCGCGAATTACCGAGTCGCGGTCCTCCTCCGGGAGGGACGAGGCACTGATTCTTGGGATCGTACGTAGGGCTAATCCCAGCGGCACTGCAATGCCGGGCTAACCCGTAGCAGCGGTGGAGCAAGCTCCTACCTCCGCAAATTCCCAAAAATCAGGCTAATATTCTGGACCCCCCTGTGGAGGGTGTATCAGATATCAAGCTGATAAGAACAGGTATAATTATTTATTGCAGCACATGTTCCCAGTGGGACAAGCTCCACCGGATAAATACATTGCGCCCTTCATGGGCGGCCTCGTGGCCTTCTTATTGTAATTAAATAAAAAGGAGGAGGCTGTAGAGGGGCCCCTCTCCAGACGTGTTTATATGGCGTGTTGTCATCGGTCAGACAATTCAATAAGTACTAGTCACCGCCAGTCTTTTAAAATAGCAGATAGAGGTTATCATTGATACGTATATAAATAGATACATACGATATAAATAGATACATGTATCAGTAAACTAAACTATAATTAAGATATAAATAAGTTAAAATACGAAAATTGAGAATAAATAAATAAATAAGGGCACTTGGTTATTGCATGCCAAAATGGTGACTAGAATTTAAGCTTATACTTAATGTGGCCGGGCCTTAATATTTTCTTTCCATCTCTTTCATCAATCTTTCTGCTAATACGCGTGTATATATTTTGTATAATGAGTCCGTTATTGTTACCTCTCTGAACTCTTCAACTTTCCCATTCCCGTTCTTCTTAACTGGAACAATCAAACCTTCCTTCCAACTCCTCTGCCACAATTCACCTCTCTATACTCTATTACATACTTCCCATACCCAATTTTCCATTTTTCTTCCTCCATATTTCTATATTTCGCTTCGTATTTTTTATCGTATATTTCATCTGTTCCTACTGCTTTCCCATCTTTTAGTCTCTTCAACGCTTTCGCTATTTCTTCCTTTCCAATTGCATATTCATCTTCCTCCCCAATCTCATCGTTCTTACTATTTGCCATCGTTACCCTCCATTCTACCCCACCCAGTAGTTTTGTAAAATATCTGCTCCATTCTGCCATTGTTATATTCTTTCCTATCTCCTTTCTTCTTATTCTTCCTCTGTTTACCACCCTCCAGACATCTTTCTCTAATCTAGCCTCCTCTACCTCTTTCTTCAAATTCTCTCTTTCTACTTCCTTCCATGTTTCACACAACTCCTTGTATTCTTTTCTTGCTTTTGTGTATTCCTCCCTGTGCCCGTTTCATCTTCTCCAGTTTCTTAGTTTCCTTCACACCTGTGTTTTCTTTTCTCTACGTTCCACCATCTAGTCTTCTTCCTTTCTCCCTCCTGCTTCCCCTCTTCTAATGCCTTTCTTATTTTCCCTATATCCTGTTTCATAATTTCCTCTATGCTTCCTCCGTTTTCCGTCATCATTCCTATTCTTTCCCTAAATTTCTCCATACCTTTCGTTGTCCACTCTCCTCTCCATCTTTTCTTTTCTTTCCCTGTATTTTTACTCTCTAGTTCCCCCTTGCCCCTGATGCTAACAATCAGTGGAAAATTATTTGAATCGATTCTCTCTCCCACTTCCATCCTTTCTATTCCCTCCCTTCCCCCTTCATCTGTTATTACATAATCCATCATTTTCTTCTTTTGCCCCTATACACGTGCATTCTCCTTCCTTCTCCCCCTTCACGTTACTATTTAAAATAAATCACCCGGTCTCCTCTATCATCTTCAGCTGCTTGCCCTCAGATTTCACTTTCTTATCTTTTGACTTCCTTCTTTCTGCCTATACTTCCTAACCTTCTCCCCATATTCTTGCTCCTAGTTCGCCCGTCCTAGCATTTAGATCTCCTTAAATTATTATTTTCTTTTTCCTTTTCCCTTGTCTGCCAATCTTCATACGTCGTTTTTTATTCTAACTTTCAATTTTACCACTCCTTCCGCTACCGATATTGGCTCCTCCACTGCCAAGTTTTTCTTCACTCCCACTAACATACCTCCTATTACTATCTTCCCTTCTTGTTTTTCCTACTTGCGTTCTGTCTCTGCCAATCATATCCCTTCGGTAGCTTGCTCTTGATCTTTCCCCACACTTTCTTCTCCATCCTGCCTCTTTACCGTCGCTTTTTTCCCTCCTAATTCTTTCCCTTCTTTTCCGTCCATCTCTCGCATCCTGTCTTTCAGCTTACTCATTCTCTCTTTCAATTTTCTCCTTTCTTCTACTATTCGCTGCTCTATCTTTCTCTTTCATTTTATTTTTGAGTTTCCCCATCTCTACCCCAATTTTCTTTTCTACACAATCGCCTAATCCTCGAATCATCTCCTGCTGTTGCAGTCCCATTTCCTGTATCACTTTTTCAAGCTCTTCTGTACTCGTCCTCTCTTTTTCATCTTGTTCCGCTTTATTTTTTATCTGCTTTGGTGATTCTACCTTCTTATTCTTTCCTACTGCTTCTGCCTTTCTTCTGTACCATTTATCTAATCCTGCTTCACTACATTTCATTTCTTCCTTCTTTTCTTTCACAGATTTGTCCACTCTTATTTCTCCTTTTACAGTTCAGAGTTCTCAACCTTCTACCATCATCTTCTTTATCGGCTGAGCTCACTTTCTTGATTACCGATCCTCAATAGATGTCGAGTACGAGTTTCGAACACCAACTTGCACAAGCCGCAAGTGGCTTCCTAGCCTAGCGTCGAAGTCAATCGATATTTTCGATGTTAAGCAAACAGAGTGCGGAACACCGCTGGATGGGTGACCAATCCAGCCTAGCGAGTAGTTACAACAACAAGCGTCTGGGGTAAGGAGTCGCTGCCATATCAACCCCACTGATGAATCTAGGCAGCGACTCGGAGACGAAACGCACAACCTTTCCTCACCTTACCCACATCATCACTTCCTACATTATCCTCGCATTATCATCGACACTTTCA